CCCCTCACGGCCTTTATCCTGATACCGACGCTGGCGTTAGCTACTGTAGAGGAAGACGCTACTCACATGTTCACCACAATGGACGCCGATGGCAACGGCGAACTGACAAAAGAAGAATTTTTTGATTACGAGAAGGTTTTAATTTTTTTCATCATACTAGTGTACATTCAAATTATGGCCTTTTGATATAACATATATATATATATATATATATATATATATATATATATATATATATATATATATATATATATATATATATATATATATATATATATATATATATATATATATATATATATATATAAAATCAACGACATTTACTCTCCTTATTAACGTTCAAATCTACATCACATTCATATTCAAGAATATTAATCCTCTTCATCCTATTTATTGTATCTCGAATCTTAATCCTTCATATTATCTCAAAGTTTAATTCTCTTTACACAATGCGAAATCTTTATCCTCTTATATAGGCCTACTTAAAAAGCTTCTTCCTACTCCTATAATTTCAAGTCTTGAGCCTTCTCATGTAATATCAATCCGCCTCATTTGATTTCCAAGCATCCTCTTCCTTATTTACTTACGTATTATTAAACCACTTTTCCTGTTGCACATAACTACAACATCCACACCATCTATTCTCTTGCACAAAACTACAACAACATCCATACCATCTATTTTCTTGCACAAAACTACAACAACATCCATACCATCCATTGACAGACTTACAACAACACCCATACCATTTATTCTCATTGCCAGACCTACGACAAGAACAAGGACCGCGGCCTAACTGTAGAAGAATTCAAGAACTTTGTCACCTCTCTGGCACCGGGCCTGGTCCAGTACGTCGACCCCTGGTTTCCCCACGGAGACAGGAACCAAGACGGTACCTTGGATGAGGCTGAGACTGAAGCAGCCTTCGAGATTTTGGATTTTAACAAGGACGGAGCGGACACGCTTCCGGAATTCGTTAGGTGAGCCGCTGTCTGAGATTCGATTCCCTTGCTAACTTCAACAATGCATGTCTAAGATTATCTGCTTAGGCAAATATCGCTACCCTGGTCCTAATTCACATCTAGTTTCTGATACAAACTATAGCTCATACCTTAAAATAATGACAACCTAGACTTGAGCGCAGTAGTAAAGTTCCCTTTTCAAACCTGACAGTCTATAGGGCAAGTGAAGTAGAGTTCACTTGTTTCTGTGACTTCGGCATATGAAGAGATAGTGTGGTCAGCACTATGCCCAGCAGCCTCTACTTTCCTAACGTGAGTTAGGTACCCATCAGAGTTGGGTGGACTTAGGGACGGTCTACTGAATTGAACCCGGATTCGAACTCGAGACTTGCAGATTAGCAGTCCAACTCACTACCGCTAGACCACTCCATCCCCTCTTGAGCCCAGTGGGTAGTCTATAAGTGCCATAATGCTTTTTTATCCTAATTAAAATTACTTACCCTTATTGTAGTTTCAATAATTTTACAAATCCATACCACTAAAAAAAAACTTACTTACTATGTTCATTCAATAGTTTCATAGTGATTTATTCTAGACTCTCACATTGTTTTTCTATATTAATAAAAAATCACGCACGATAAGCGAATATGTGTTTGAAGGTTGGGTACTATGGAGGAGGGATTCAGTTTTTTTTTCAATGGCTTGGGCAGAGCGTAGCTCAAATATCCCCAGAAACACTGCTTTACACCATACTATTACCTGGAAATTAAATTTTCATGTTTCGTACGATACACTTATTTGTATATATAAATTTATATTAATTTAAAACATGAATTAAGCATTTTGACTTTAAAATTGTGCATCCTTTTATTTCTTTTTTTTTAATGTTAAACATCAAAGCTAGTTGACAAGACGGGATGATTTTTTTACAGGTATGTTAAAGAGATCGTGGTACCCTCGTAGGATTTTCCTGCCCTCCCCCCGATGCATGGATGGATGATTTAAATAATGATCGCACATAACACAGGATTATTGAAACATCTTTAAAAACCAGATGTGTTCAGTACATAAAACAAGTTGAATATCGCTTATGGAATGACACGTATATCAAATGAAATGTAGAAAATGTAAAAATCTGAATGTCATAAAGTATTTTTTAATTTGTTCATCTTAAAACGTTTAATACTCTAATCCAGTTTTAAAATGTTTATAGGCACGCACACACACACACACACTTACTCACTCACTCAGTCAAAGACTTCAACTGAAATTAAAATAATTTATATAGTTTTTTTTTCTCAAAATTTTTATGATATTAAAATAATTATTGCTTTCTTTTGTTTCTATAACTAAGCTACATTGTGAGAGATGCTTTTTATATTTATACATTTTTATTTCCATTGAAAAAGGCTAAAAAAATTGGGAAAAAGGGGATCATTTTGACAACAAGCATATTAGTACCGTTTAAAACTTCAGCTACATTTTACTGAAAAAAAGTTGTAATCAATTTCCGAAAGTTGTAAATTAAATCTTTTACAAAATATGTAGTTATTAAAAAATTGAAAAATAATTAACAATTATAATTTAAGGTTGTAATATTGTCAAGCTTTTTAATATTTAAAAGGATTTCATAAACTGTGCCTTATACTATTGCTGTGAAACACTTGTTTAAATAATCGACGGTTAACTCAAAGTCTCAAACTCCATCTGTTGATTCTATTTTCTGGCGCTATCAATAATATATACGTCACAATCGGGACAATATTTGGGTGCAATAAAAAATGTTTTAAAACTTCTTCTAGTGCTAGTGCTGGTGCCATTTTTATCATACCAGGAGCAGTGTTTCTTCCAGACTTTTTTCTCCGGGTAGGGGGGGGGGGGCGGACTAAAATTTCCGGGGGGGGGGGGGGTGGTTTCTATATTTTCCATTTCGTCTGGGTGGGGGAGGGGCGGAATTTTTTGTAGGGGGGCGCACACTGGTAAAAGTATATATTTTCTAAAAACATTCAACTTCGATGAGGGGGGGGGGGGGCGGGGCTAGAATTCCTTTGGGGGACGGAACCCCCCCACCCCCCCCCCACCCCACCCCTGAAGAGATGCCTGGAAGAAACTCTGACCCGGAGGCAAATCAAAATTTTTGCTGGTCCTAGATCTAGTTCTGGCGCCATTTATAACATATCCGGAGGCAATAAAACTAAACATTAAGCTGCGAAGATAATGTATCACAAGGGAAGCCCTGCACTCCCACCCAGGGGGGGGGGGGGTTGGACGGTTGGGGCCTGCCATAATTGGGTCGATAAACACCTGACGCGGCAGCTGTAGAGTTGATGAGTTCGCACCATATGGCGCTCTAGATCTCGACTTGTCATCTGTTTTTTTTTTTAATTTTTTTTTTCCAATTTAAAATCACATGACTCAGTGGGAAAGTTGCGATTCGCCATGTTTCTACTTCCCATTTAAACACAACACTCGATCGAAAACCTCATCTACCACAGCAAGTAGGTAGAGGTGTAGCTAGTATAGAGCGGGTGGGGCGGGTGGGGCGGGTGCCGACCTTAGGGGCGCCGAACGTGGTATAAAACAAATGTAAAAAACCCATTTTGATCTGCATTACTAAATTATCACAGCCGAAGTTGAGGAAATAGACCGTTCATCAGTTTTAAGGAATTTTTTCACAGCTTTCTACATCAATTGTGTGACACCAATATAAAAAAAACATTAAGAGACAATAACTTTCCTAACAGTGGTGGGGGTGGTGTGGGGGTGCTTTTTTGCCAAAGCCACGGTAAATAACTATATGAATGGGGGGGGGGGCTGCAAAGTTGATATTTCGACCTGGAATGGGTCGCTTCGCCTCTGCAAGTGGGCCGGGATAGCTAAAGATTTAAAGAGACCAGCATTTAACTACTATATTTACTGCTGCATTTGTATTGAATCAACAACAGTAGGTAAGTATGGAAAGGAAATCAAATGGTATGACATGTCAACGTGGTCGGGTCGGTAATGCTCATTGTTGCTGAACAGAAAGTCTAGAGTTCGAACTCCCGGTCAGATAGGGTCGATAGCTGGGGACAGCAACACATCTAAGAGAGAAAACTCCTACTCTTGTTGTTTGTTCTTGGTTGGACAAAAGCTATGGAAGTAAATCCAGAAAGAGAAGCAGGCTAAAATCGGAGTCAGCGGCCTATTTGACGCATTAAAATGTTAAAATTCCATCACGATTATTAAAAACGAAAAAGAAATAATGTCGGAAAAAATATAAGGAAAATTAAAATCTGAAACAAATTTTTATAATGGATACTCCGATCCTCCTTACGTCATCTTTCTTAGCTTGTAACGTATTCGGTATTTCTTTGATCTTTTCTCTTTACAAACTAACCCTAGTTAAGAACAGACACTAATGGCTTCCCGTATTTTTAAATTGCTCTCATCTACCACATATGGTATCTTTATCATGTAGAGGCATCCGCTACACACCTGTTCACCAACTTGACAAACTATCACTTTCGTCGCTTTCAACAGCTCTTGAAGTTTAGTCCACTAAAACCTGCTAAACGAATTTCTAGCAGTTACCTGTCAAAGTTGACGCAGCTTTTGTGCGTGGCGTTGTTTTTTTTCCAGTTTGACATTGATGTTTTTATTGAACCTAAAGCTCCTCTATAGAAAGATGTAAAGCCTGGGTGGATTAAAAGGGACACGAATGTGTATGATGTAGAAAAAAAGGAATTAAGGTAATAATATAAAGTAATAATTTTGCGAAATATTCAGTAGACACACGAACAAACGCTCAACCCTCAGTTATTAAAAATAATTAGGCCCAATTAACATGCCAACGACATAATGTCATAGATCAAACACGTTTTAGACTGAAATAAGGTAATTAACGTCATAATTTATAGATCAAACGAGTTTTAGACTCAAAATGGAGTTTTTAAAGTGTTTTTATTTTAATCTGATGGATAAGGGTCTGAAAAAACAATTTGCCGTCACAAATATTCATCACCCTAATTATTTTATTTGCATATAGGCCTACGTGAAACACAATCTCCGTTTTGGATCATGTGACTGCTAAAGACAGCAGTATATAGATCTAATAATTTTCATCAGAGCACGATCGGACACCTCGAGTGATCACTGTATAGTAAGTAATTTAGAAAACGTGAATTAGTTACTATAGAACATTAGCAAACTAAAATCTAATGACACATTATTTGTTAACTAAATAACATTCGCAAATTAAATCTAACTACACATTATTATGTAGCTAGAGAACATTCGCAAACTAAATAATTTTTTTTAGTAATTTAAGAACATTCGCAGACTTGATTTTTTTGACTGATTTTATTTAACATTGTGTGTATTTGATGTGACACTATTTTTGGCAACTAAACACAACGCTTTCGTTGCTTATAATTTATCAGTGAAAATTACATAAATTATGGCTGAAATTAATCATGTAATCGGTCATGTGGTTTAATTTTTTTTTTAAATTGTATTGGCAAAGTTTGATAAATTATTCCTGTAAAGTAGGGTTTCAGAAAATCGGATTTCCTGTGCAACCAATCAATGTTTCTCAAACGAAAGAAAAACTTTAGATTTCATGAAATATTTAAATATAAATACAAATGATGCCTTACACTCAACAAATATTTTTGAGTTCTCTGGATTTGTAACTTTGATAACAATGATTCAATAAATAATAGTTTTAAATTTCTTAATTGTTTTCATGTTTAAGTTTTTTGTATTTACATTATTTACCGCCACATTGGTGGCAAAATTAAATAAACCGGGAATGATTTCCCCTAAACGTTCTCGAATATTCTTATATAACTCTACGGGGGATGGCAACTCGGGATGGTTTTTAATCCATTTTTAATTACTTAAACTTTTTAAAATAGATTAGAAAAAGAATTGCGCACCAAGTGAATGGCAAACAATATATGTATAATAGTGCGGAATATTATTAGTACTTAATAAATTTATAAGCGTTTTCGACAAAAAGGGAAATAGGGAAATTTACTACTTCCGGTCAACGGAAATTGCACACAATTTGACATAAGGTAGAAAATTAGATCTTTTACTTATATGTGAAATTTCTTTATCTCTATTAAACAGTACTAAAGTTATAGGCTTTTGAAAATCTGAAAGTAGAGTTAGTCACTTTTCCGGTTATCGGAAATCGCTGAAAAATTGATAATGAACTACAAACTTGATATAATATTTATAGGTGAAATTTCATCAACCTAGCTGTATAGGTACACAAGGTATTGTGTTCACACACACACACACACTCACACACACACACATGGGCTGAATTGTAATGTCTTGTTTTTCCGACTCGATTACGCGTAAAACACCGAACTTTTGATATATCTGGATTTATAATTTTCGCCCAATTAAAATAAGTCCCCTATACTCCGCATGTGATAAAGTACTTAGAAGTAAAACGGTGAAAACTGTTAAATTGCATGTGGTTTTTTGTGCACAATTACAAAACTTCTTCTATACTCTGCATACGAGAAAGTAAAAATAAAACAACAACATGTTTTTTATTAAATAAAAAAAATAATGATCGTCAAACTTGACTGCACCCATTGAAATGCTTATGCTAATAAACCGGGAGTGATCTCCCCTAAAAATTTCTCGAATATCTGTCTAAACGTACGGAATAATAGTACTTTATAAATCTATAAGATTTTTCTTCGAAATCGGAAATCGCGTAAATTACTACTACTACTACTATTTACTCACAATTCGACAAAAGGCAGAGAATTGGATCTTTTACTTACATGTGAAATGTCATTCATCTATTAAAAAACAATACTCAAGATATAGGCTTTTGAAAAATGGAAAGTAAAATAAGTTCCACTTCCGGTTATCGGAAATCGCTGAAATGTTTTTACAGAGCTACAAATTCAATGTAATACTACTATATGAAATTTCATTAACGTAGCTGTAACGATACTTAAGTGATCGTGTTCACAGATACACATACACATACATACATACACACATACACACACAGACATTCGAACAAAGTATACGAGTAAGTAAAAATATTGAGAAGATAAATATAGTGACCGTCTTCTTGTTGTATTCTTGTAAATGAGGTATTGAAATTCGGCTTGCAGCACCAACATGTCTCCCCTGTGGGTACTGCTTCTACTGCCAACCTTGACCTACGCTGGGGTCACAGAGGACGCGACCCGTTTGTTCTCGTCGCTCGACACCAACGGAGACGGTAAACTGGAACCGGAGGAGTTTTTTGTTTACATGCGGGTATGAACTGTGTACTCACCACAAAAAACATACAATATAGCGTCATAAGTCCAGTAGCGTAGCGAGGGGGGAAGGGAGGGCGGGGGTGGGGGGGAACATATGTCCCCGGGCGCCAACCTTAGGGGGCGCCAAAATGGGTTGGAAAAATAAATTGAAAGGTTGAGGGGGATGCAAATCGAAAGTTTGAGGGGGGTGCAAATCGAAATCTTGAGGGGGGTGCAAATCGAAAAGTTTGTCCCCGGGCGCCGGGAATGGTCGCTACGCCTCTGCATAAGTCTGAGGCGAGAGGGTCGGGTGCTCCCTCCCCCCTCACGTGGACATCTTTTATGGGGTTACGCCTAATAGAAAACGCGTAAAAACTACTGTCGACATAAAGTTTATTCAAGTAAAAACAAAAATAATAGGGGAGAGGGTTAGACCAAACCAACAGAGGCGTAGCGAGTGAGGGAGGGGGCGGGGGGTGCGGACCGCACCGGGTGACACCATTTATGGTGGGTTACACCAAGGCAAAAAAAGAGCAAAATATATAAAGAAAAACTTGAGGGGGGGGGGGGGCGGTGGTGGAAATCGAAAGTTCGAGGGGTGGGGGTGGAAATCGAAAGTTTGAAAGTTTGTCCCGGGGAAGGGTCGCTACGCCTCTGGGGGGGGGGGGGGGTGACACTATTAATTGCCGCACAGGGGGACACCCAACCTCGCTACGCCACTGCAAACCAATAACTATTAGAGGGGTTTGATGGTGGCAACCCTTAATATGGCTTGTAAGTCTTGGTCTCTCTCACATGAAACTCGAGAGCACGTTAGCAAGGAGGAGACATACAACCGCAATAGTGACGCTGGTGATATGCACTCTCAGATCTTCAGTTTACTCACACTCGCATATTTTAGACTCTCATATGTTATAATCTCTCATATTTTATACCCTCTCGTATTTTATACTCTCTCATATTAACATATATTATAATCTCATATTTTATGGTTTCATATTTTATAATTTCATATTTTATTATTTCATATTTTTATCATGTCATATTTTATACTCTCTCATATTTTATACCCTCTCGTATTTTATACTCTCTCATATTTTTTATATTTCACAATCTCTCATATTTTTAGTTTCATATTTTATAATTTCATATTTTATTATTTTATATTTTTATTATGTCATATTTTATAATCTCACATTTTAAAATATCTCATATTTTATACTCTCTCAATTATTCTCCTTCTACTACTATATACAATATTATTTCCCATCTTATACTATGTGTTTAATCATCCACAATGTTTATTGATTTATGTGTCTTGTATATAAAATTATATGTATGTATATGTTACGGTCAAAGCCCGAAGTGCGGCCAAAGCGCGGATTGGCCGGCCAATCCGCGCATTGGCCGGCTATCTTGGCCAACGCCCGAAGAACGTAGCACTAAGATCGTATTTCGTACATTGGCCGGCCAATGCGCGCACTGGCCGGGACGTACTGGCCAAAGTCCGAAGCGCTTAAACTTGACAGCGTATTTTGTACATTGGCCGGCCAATGCGCGCACTACCCGGGATGTCCTGGCCAATGTTCTATCTATACTAAGTTGTGATCGCATTTTCATTATTCTGGGTGCGTTTTCATTGAGAGTAACGTATTGTTTAGCTCTTGTTTGTATAGCATTCTATATGCAAGGCGACATGGATCAAAAGGGCCGTCAGATCATGAGACAGACATAGCAGATGGCTGTCAAAAGAAAAATGTAAATCCATGTTAGTTTCCATATATGGGCTCTCGATAAAATAATTACTGAGGAAGATCTTGAGAACATTGTACAAGAAATGGAGGTTGCCATAAATGCAACGACATCCTCAGCTAACCCATCTACTGCCGTGTCGGAACGCCCAGACCAGTTGCGTGACAATAATGTGGCAAACAGATTCTATATAGTTTGTGAAAAACATTGTAGTGCAGCTCATTCTTTTGGATCATGTGTCAACGATGTCTATGCTATTTGTGGAATACCCAATGAAGCAGACGAAGGATACCGAGGGAACATTACCTGCAGATTGTGTCACAACAAACAAGACATCGTGGAACACAGATCAGCAGCTCATACTGGCTTGCAAACTCAAGCGCTAAGATGCTTAAAACATCAAATACAAAATTTAAAGATGGTGAAGTGGGTGACAATGTACGCATCCGTTTTCCAGATGTTGACAGAGGTCACGGTGATCCCCGAAGCGTGATTGCAGTTGTCATGAGCGTCGAGGGCGGTTTCTAAAACAACTATATGCTAGAAGTGAGTTTTCAATTCTTCACGAAAAACTGCTCTCATTGTCGTCAGTTGGCACTGAGGTAAATCACTACGAACCATCGCATCTTCACAATCATTGACTGGGGACCAAGGCTACACTCGCTGCAATTGCACAACTAAGTGTACTACAAATCGCTGCAAGTGTAAAAATAACAAGCTGCTATGTAATTCTAAATGCCATAAAAGTTAAACTTGTAACAAATGATGATATTGATAGATTGAGACTATAGTACAATAAAAAATTTGAATGTTTCTGTCATTTACTTTAATTAATAATCAATAAAGACTTAATTTCATGATCCTTACGGCATAAAAAAAAACCTAAATTTGCTCATGATCTTCTAATTAAGACTTTGGCCGGTCCACCATGGCCAGTCCGCGGACTGGCCGGCCAAAGGCCGAAATCAAGCAAAGTTTCGGACTTTGACCGACCTATGAGATGCGATATTGGCCAATGCGCGGATTGGCCGGCCAATCCTAGCATTGGCCGACTTCGGGCTTTGACCGTAACATATACATTCCTCCCCCAAGTGAGTTTGTATCATTCACACATACTATGTATGCACAACTACCAATGCATTGGTACTCTTGCACAGGCTTTCGATATCGACCATGATGGAGGCATGTCCCTAGCCGAGCACCAGAATTTGATCAACTCTGTTGTTCCTGCCCTGGTCAAGTACGTGGCCCCCCGTTTCAATGAGGTGGACCTGAACAAGGACGGCAAGCACGACGAAGCAGAGATGTACCAGACGCTTCTATTCATGGACACCGACAAGAGCGGCATTGTTGAAAGGCCGGAGTTTGTCAAGTAGAGTTAATTTTTACAAGCTTTTAGTTAACTAGCTTCCTCTGTCTGTTGTCAGTCTAAACTCTAGATAGAAACGCCCGAGTGAAATTTCGGGTACTTCTATTTAACACATTCGTTTCAAAGTTGGCACGTGGGTCAAGACATGAAGTCAATGTAATCTGACATTAAATTATTCAAATTTGACTTAATCGGATGACTAATTAATTTTTATGAATAAATTAAAAATTGTGTCCAAATTAGTTGGCTGTCTTACCAAAACATTTAATTTCAATTTTATTGAAGATTACGTAAAAAGCTTGTTATTAAAACGTGGTTTATAAATTTTTTTGTATATAAACTTCAATGCTACTTTATATAGAACTATCTAAGACAAATATTCTAGAATTGCTAGAATTGCGTTCACTTATACTCGACTCAGAAGACAACGCAAAAATGTCTAATTTTAAATATATATCTTTTTAAAATTATTAATTAAAAATACATTTTAATTTTCATAAATTCAATAACAAAAGGAGGAATAACAAGATTAAAAGCTAGCTAGTTGTAATTTCTAAAACATTAAAAAAACAAAAAAACAAATTTAAAAAAATTAATGTTTCATTTGTATTTACTTTCACAACAATACTATATTGCCTAGTCACGTTTGTAAAATGTAATTGTTTTTCTTTTTGCAGATTTATCGAATATATCTCAAGTTACAAGATCTAGATCTTCGTACTTACTGATAATAGCGATGATAACCCTCTACTATAAAAAATATAAATTTTGAATGTGAAAATAAAGCTTTTTAGAAGCACTTATTTTTTATTCGCACAGCTTTTGTTGTAAATATTTTCTGCGAGATAATGACTTGTTATTTATTGAAATGTATCACAAGTCAATTATTAGTGACATACAATCCAATTTATGAACTTAGAAAGGTTCCAATCGACAGATGAGGACGGTCAACGAAGCTACAGGTAGCTTAAGCTTATGGTTGCTGAACCGAAACGTCCCGAGTTTGAACCCCTGAGCAGATGAGGCTCGATAGCTGGGGACAACAACTCATCTAGGAGAGATAATACCGCAATAAAACAACTGCTGGCATGTAGTTTGTTAGGTGGTTAGACAAAGGCGATAGAAGCAAATACAAAAAAAGGGACGGTCTATGTTGAGTATAACAGGCTGTCAACACACATATACAAACATGCATGTAGGCTGTCAACACAGTAACCATACTGTCTATACACATATGTATGTAGGCTGTCAACACAGTAACCATACAATTATGTATGTAGGCTGTCAACACAGTAACCATACTATCCATACACATATGTATGTAGGCTGTCAACACAGTAACCATACTATCCATACACATATGCATGTAGGCGGTCAACACAGTAACCATACTATCCATACACATATGCATGTAGGCTGTCAATACAGTCATACAAACATGCAAGTAGGCTGTCAACGCAGTAACCATACACATTTGCAAGTAGGTTCTCAGCACAGAAACCATACAAACATACAAATATTCATGTAGGCTTTCAACACATAAACCATACAACCATGCATCTAGAGCTTGATTTTTCATCCAATCATTGCACACGTAATTCCATCGCAATTTGAATAGCACCAAGATGCACTGTCAACGAACCTAAAGTTTGCATTTCTTACAAAAACATAGTATGGTTAGAACGTCCATAGTCTTCTAAACATGAACAAACTGATCCTGTTTGCAATGTGTTTCTTAATTGCATTTATTGTCGGTTTGTATTGTAGTGTTTAGTCATAAGAAAGTCTCTACGCGGGTTACTAATTGAAACTTGCCAACTATAAGCCATAAGCATAAAAAAGTTTCGAAAACACAACAAGGCTTATTGACTTATTGTATCTTTACATTTTCGTATACAGACTAGATCTAGATCTAGACCCTATGAGTTTGAGGGTGTCTTGTATTCAGTCGATAATAGGGCCTTTAAGTCTCTCGGTCTCTCTCGCTTAAAATTCGAATCTCGTTATCCAAGGAGAGATTTTAATTTTCGAACTAAATTAGCCTAATTGTTGTGATTATGTCTCACATTGATAAATAAAAAAAGAAACATCATTTGGCTATTTGTTTCTCGGCTTCGCATCGTGATTTTAAAATAACCAAGAGTACCCAAAAAATCAACAATTATAAATTGTATTTAATAATAATTAATAGCATCAAATTGAGTGCTGCTAGGCGTAGGCTATTAATATTATTTTAATATTGTAACTACGTTTAGGAACATTTTTAACGTATACGAATAAAAAACAACAAATTATACGCTTCTTTGACAAAAAACAACGCAATTTAACGAAGGCTATATTTTTTTATTTAGCTAGCCTACAATTTGAAGTCTATTATTATAATTTTTTTAGGATTTTAAATAATTTAACAATAGTGGAAATAGCTTTTCTATTTTTTTAGCCTGATTTAACAAAAAAATAATAATTCACGTATGGTTTGAAAAGTAAAATACTACCTGGCAACTACTAGAACGAAGACATTGGCGACCTATTTACAAGCCCTATTTTGATCGAACCCAACTTGCCAAACTCAACCACCTCCATTTCCATTCTAATACGAACCTTAAAAAACTTGACCATTTTAAATAATTTCTCACCGGCTACTAGCTCTATACTGGACACTAATTACAATCAGAACGCTGCTCTTAAGCCCGACCCTAACGGTAATCTTAATCACGGACATAACCCTGAACTAAACGAAAATAAGTCGTGTCCCTATCTGCGACTCTAACACCAGTAGTAAAATCAAAACAAAAACCTCCTGAGCAGCATTCATTTTACTCTTATCAGAGTTTCTTTTAGGCATATGATCGAATGGGGTGGGGGGGGGAAGGACGGACGTACCCCCCTTCCAAAGCTTTCCATCCCACCCCCATTCCCCCTAGCAAACGAGAAAAAAAAATGCAAAATATATACTTCAACTAGTATTCGTCTAATCCCCCGGAAAATAAATTCCATCCCCGCATGAGCTTCCCCTCCCTCCCCCGAGAAATAAACTTATTTATTTGACCCATTTCGTCAATGATATTTAAAATATTTTTACTAAGATAATATCAACTACTTGCACATCTCATATATATTTATTAGAGTAGTTTATGCGGTAAAGATATCTCGCTTTGTGCTGTTTGCTATTGAAGAAGTTATGTGAAGCGAGGATACAGGACATTACCCCCCTGGAAATTCCCCCCCGGACATCCCCCCCCCGTATTTACCCCCCGGAGAAATTACACCCCTGTCAATTACCCCCCCCCCCCCCTGTCAATTACCCCCCCCCCTCCCCGGGGAATTAACCCCCCCCCCTCCCCTCTTAAGTTAGAATCCTAACTCTAACTAGAATTCTATACCTATAATCTACTTTAATCCAAACCTTAAGAAAAAGACCAAAACTTAAGCATCCAACTTAGCCTAAAACTTCACACAAAGCCAAAACCAACGCTAGACAAAACCCTAACCCTAACACTAGCTCTAACCCTAAACCTAGCCCTAAAACTTAACTCTAATCTTAACCCTAACCCTAACCTAACCTAACCTTTACCCTAGCCCTAACCCTAACCCTAACCCTAACCCTAACCCTAACACTAGCCCTAAAACCTAACCCTAACCTTAACCTTAAACCTAACCATAACCCTAACCCTAACCCTAACCCTAACCCTAACCCTAACCCTAACCTAACCCTAACCCTAACCTTAACCTTAACCCTAACCCGAATCCTAACCCTAACCCTAACCCTAACCCTAGCCCTAGCCCTAACTTTAACCCGAACCCTAACCCTAAACCTAGCCCTAAACCTAACCCTAAACCTAGCCCTAACCCTAACCCTAACCCTAACCCTAGCCCTAACTTTAACCCGAACCCTAACCCTAAACCTGTCCGGGGGGTAATTGACAGGGGGAAATGCCCTGTTCCCGTGAAGCGACTTTGTAATTGACCATGATGTCAATTTTTCAGAGATGGAGTGTGAATACAAGTACCTGATTGTCTGGGAATTTTTCAATTACTACAGTGTCAGGTTCCGCTATCTTGCCGTGGCGGACGCAAATATAACTGTATGTTGTGTACATCTTGATATAAGCATATTGTATTTATCTTTTACCGTACGTGTTTTTATACATAGGGCAGATGAAGTAGAGTTCATTTATTTCAAGTACCTTTTTTAAACATTTTACCGTACGTACTTTTACACATGTGGCAGATGAAGTAGAGTTCATCTATTTCAACGACAATTTAAAAAAAAATCTTTTACCGTTCTTGCTTTTACACATGGGGCAGATGAAGTAGAGTTCATCTGTTTCAGTGATCTGCATACAGGAGACTAGTGTGACCAGCGGTCTTGGTGTCCCTAATGTGGACCAGGTACACATAAGAGCTGGGTGGACAAACAAAAGTAAAAATACTAAAGAATCCTCTTTAGACCTAGCGATCCATTACGCAGATGAAGTAGAGTTCATGAGTTTCTTAGGGGTCTGCGTGGTCGAGTCGGTAAAGCTCATGGTTGCTAAACCGAAAAGTCTCGAGTTCGAACACTAGGGAAGAAGAGGCTCGTTAGCTGGGGACAGCCAATCTTCTAGGAGAGACAACTCCAAAATTAAACAACTGCTGCCGTGTAGTTTGTTCTTGGTTGGACAAAGGTTATGGAAGCAAATCCAAAAAGAAAAGCAGGCTGAAATCGGAGTCAATGGCCTCAATGTCGCATAACCAGTTGACACGTATCCTTAATTGTGATGGGGGCGTGTTCGAGTCGGCAAAAAGCTCATGGTTGATACATTCGAAAAAGTCTTGAGTTCAAACCCTCTGGCAGATAAAGCTCGATCCCTTCCCAACACTAAAAATTAAGAACGAAGAAGAAGAAGATGTGTTTCTTGACCTAGGCATATGAAGGGAAGGTGTTGTCAGCACTTTGCCCAACCGTTTTTTCTTCCCTAACATGCCTTAGGAAACCATCAGAGCTAGGTGGAAGTTCTACTGACTCGAAGCCGTATTCGACCTCGAGACTCTTGGGTTAGCAGCCTAGCGCACTAGCTCTTAGACAACCCATTGGGTGTACTAAGGGAACTCTAAAATGTTCAAGATTGGTATCCGACACATTTTTAAGTTGACTGTCGGGAGCTCTCCAATTTGACCACCCCATCCTATATAAAAAGAGATAATGCAGATTTTCTTAGACATGATAGCATTATTGAACATCGGTATGTTTTAAAAAAAAATGACTAAGACTTCACTTTTTTTTGGCGTTGGGTTACACGAAGTGTAAAGTATACTCTGATATATCTGTGGACGATGATGAATTTATGTTTTTAAAACCTGTAGATTTATATAAATGGTGTCGTTGTTTCAATATAGGATCGCGCACAGACGTTGTATTCACTCAACAACAATCTGTAAACCAACAGCTGTCTAGTTTTGGAGTTTTCTCTCTTCGATGGTTCGCTTTACCAAGATCTGCCCGCGAGTGGGGGTGGGGATGTTTGGAAAGAACCCCGGAAATTTAGGGCTCAAAATCATGACATTTAAACCCATGAAGTCAACCCTTACTATATTATATTTCGCAGACAGTTGTTAGGAGAGTCTAAGCGTCCTATATTTAAAAAACATACGCCATATAAGCATCGCGTAAAAACAGATACAACTCTTTTGGACCAAAATTCTATCCGCCACCCATGCAATGCTAATGAAGTTTTTCTTTTCTTCCAACCAGTGTTTCTTCCAGACTTTTTTCTCCGGGGGGGGGGGGGGGGCACTTGAAATTTTCGGGGGGGGGGGGGCTGTAGACTTTCTTCGGGGGGGGGCGGACACTGTTAAAAGTATATATTTTCTGTATAAATTATATAAATTTCATTTCGTTCGGGGGGGGGGGGGGGGGGGCGGTAAAAAAATTTCGGGGGGGGGGGCTTCGCCTGGAAGAAACTCTGCTTCCAACACCGTAGAAATCTTTTTACCTATTTGTTATGTTTTTTTTGTTTCATTCATTATTGTTTACTTACAGTTCCAATTCTATAGCCACACCGACACCAAAGTTCTACAACATACAACATATACACGTTTCTATAGCGGCAACCTTCAAATACTGTTATTCCCGTACATGTAAGTAGACGTCTAATTTGATTTTTGAAATTCGATTGTATGTACTTTGATTATTTGTCGTAATAATAAATTTACCGTGATTTGATTTTTGAAAATTGACTGTATGTACTTTGTTTGATTATTTTGTCTTAAAATGACTTGATCGTATTTTAATGTATATATATATATATATATATATATATATATATATATATATATATATACACACGCACACATGTATTCCGAAATTATACACTACAGGATGCTTATAAACATGTTTTATGTTATGTCTAGTTAGTCTTTTGTATTATATGTGATATACGTGAATTATATGTGTATTATGCTACATTCTGCAGTCACTAGTGATCTGGTGTATTTGTTAGAGAAAGCTTTCTAAATGTATTTAAATGTCTCTAAAAATTAAAAATAAAATAAAAATGTTGAAGAAAATTCGGTAGCTCCTACTGATGTGTTCAAGTACGAGTTGAGCTATATAAGTATTCCCATCGGTTAACTGCATTTTCAGCTCACAATAAGTTTGTGTCACTATGTTGCAACATTTCAGCAAAAGAGAAGTGCCCCTTCATTCCATGATTGTCAATTCTTCTGTTGACTTTGAGATACTGGTGGTGCTACTGAATGTAAAAGGGGCGGAGGTCGTGGGCGCCTACTACCCTTTGGAGGTTACCAAGATGAGCAACATTTATGTGTTTCCGGTCACGGAGTGAGTTTTTGTTGTTGTTTGTTTGCATGCTGTGTACTAGTAGTGTGCTGAGATCACAGAGTTTGTTGTTTTGTTTGTTTTGTTTGTATGGTGTGTACTGGTGGTGTGCTGAGGGAGTTGTTTGTTTGTTTGTTTGTTTGTTTGCATGTTGTGTACTGGTGGTGTGCTTACGGTTTACGTGCTATCAACATGCTGTGTAGAAAAAGCTAAACTGGTGGTATGTCATGTTTACATTTTAGGCCAGAATATTAGTACATCATCATCATTTCTTGTCTGAGATCTTTTGTCTGAGATCATTTGTCCATGGTATCATTTGTCCTGATATATTTTGTCCTGGTATCATTTGTCCTGAGATCATTTGTCCTGAGATTATTTGCCCATGAGAAGATTTGTCCGGGTTATTTTGTCTGAGATCATTTGTCCTGTCACCATATATATATATATATATATATATATATATATATATATATATATATATATATATATATATATATATATATAATGTTGTTTACGGGGGGAAGGAGGGGAGGGATTTGTTCAGTCGCTATCCGCAAACAGTTTCCTACACTTATTAAAAAGAAAAACCCACAACACAAGCAGTAGTTTGAACGTTTGACAAGTACAAACCGACGTCAATGATGTTTGGTACACGAAGTAGACGTTTTATTGTCAACATGTACACAAGAAACAAGTAACTTGTACACAATACACATTTTAAACGCAACATGTACACCTATAATATTCAGCTGTTTAGCAGGTTATATAAATGTAACTGATACAATTATCAATTGTATAAATCCTTACAGCTAATATATTTTGTTACTGGCCGTGTTTACATTTTGTTTCCCACTTTTATTTATCTATATACCCAGGGTAATCAATTCAATTCTTGTTGTAACTGATTTTGACAAAGTCGAGGTGGACGTGATTACATATTACAGCGATCATCTCCGCAGTGAAGAAGAATCCATACGGCATTTCTTTCTAATAAGGTGAATTAGACATCAATGTCGAAATGACTTTTTTTTTTACAGTCATTTGGAGTTTTTTAATGCTTGTTTTTTAGTATTGTTATGAGAAAAGTTAAGGATTGGGTCGAAAGTTATCGCGGTTTAAGACAAATCGTGTGAGTTAAGTTTTTAAAAAAGCTTGTTATTATTAATAACTAGATTAATGGCCCGTTGAGGGAGAAATACTGCGTTCTCTAGGTTGTTAGTATCGTCGTTTTCTTTAAACCGAAACCAAAAACAAAATCACCACCTCAGCTTCAAATTTAACTGGAAACGAAAAATGTCATTCAAAACGGATTTTTATCCAGACAGGGCATTTTAACCAGATCCGGAAACTGAATTTGAAATAAAACACATAATAACCCCAACCTAAATACTGATACTAACACTTACTATATGATACTTTTTCGGTTAATCGTTTTGTAGATCTACATTCAACTCTAAAATTAGTCAATTCTTCTTCTTCTTCTTCTTCGTTCTTAATTATTAGTGTTGAAGGGGATCGAGATTTATCTGCAAGTGGGTTTGAACTCTAGACTTTGTTCGAATTTATTAACCATGAGCTTTTTGCCGACTCGACCACGCCTCCAACACAATTAAGCGTTACGTGTCAATTGGTTATGCGCCATTGAGGCCATTGACTCCGATTTCAGCCTGCTTTTTCTTTTTGGATTTGTTTCCATAGCCTTTGTCCAACCAAGAACAATCTACAAGGCAGCAGTTGTTTAATTTTGGAGTTGTCTCTCCTAGAAGAGTGGCTGTCCCCAGCTAACGAGCCTCATCTGCCCGAGGGTTCGAACTCGAGACTTTTCGGTTTAGTCAATTAAATTAGGCGTTTAGTTTGTTTTTCTCTCTTATCAACGACGTCATAATAACTGAGTCTCATTTTCGGCATTCGATTCTTAATTCTATTTTTTATTCAACAATCAGTGACACTATTCTATTTTTAGCGCAATTTCCATTCTGGAGAATTGCGTTTATTAACTCGTCATTTCTGGGAATGGATGAATGAATGAATGAATGAATGAATGAATGAATGAATGAATGAATGTATGGATGAATGTGTGTCCGGGCTTTAAGTCGTATCTCCTCCTCAACAAAGCAATATCGATGACTAGTTCCAAAAGCAATTATGTTAAGCAATTTACGAGAATGAACATAGGCCGGGTTTCTTTCATGGATTTCCCGGAAAAGCCAAAAAAACTAAAAAAAAAGCAGTTTTTGGCCCATATCTCGGCAACCAGACCACTTAGCGACTTGAAACATGTACCAATCGATTCCTGCCATAATTTAGAATAATATTGCCGAAAATTTTTCAAAAATATCTTTTCGTTCGGTCACAAAATTTTTTTTTTATTTAATTAAAATTTGGACCGAATTAGTAGGCATTTTTATCCAACCACACCACACGCGTCATCACGTTCAATAGCTGCGCCATCACGTTCAATGGCTGCGTCATCACGTTCAGTAGCTAGGCGCGCAATGGTTTTTAGTCATGTAACTCTATTGTAAATAAAACATGTATTTTAACCAATGGTTTTACTAACCCTGCTCTTGATTTACGCTACGACAGAGCTATTTTTAGAAAACATAAGGAAATTGCGCTAAAATTGTCACTAGACTTTTTAATTACCTTGTTTTGTATAGACGCTTAATGCAGACAATACCACAAACCTTTATCTGATAACCTTGATCTAAACGCAGTTACATGACATTGATACTAAATATAGTCGTAGTCATACTCATAAACCTGGCACCTATGTGCTCGAATGACGCAATATGAGTTTGGTTTTAGATCGAAAAGTTTTTTAAAAAAAATTAAAGTTGGTAACGCATTGATGAAATCACTTTAAAACATTGCTCCAAACTTTCACCTCAGACGGGAGCAATGAATCAAGTTCTATAAGAATACGAGCTGGCCCGCGACGTAGCATACGCCGCTATTTAGTTGTTTTAACTCCTATTTTTCAGTAATTCATATTTTGTGAATTCGACACTACCAATGCTGCAACTCAGAGGCGTAGCGAGGGGGGGGGGCGGTGGGTGCGGACCGCACCGGGTGACACCATTTAGGGGGGTGACACCAAGGCGAAAAAAGCAAAATATATAGAGAAAAACTTAAGGGGGAGGTGCAAATCGAAAGTTTGAGGGGGGTGCAAATCGAAAACTAGCGGGGGGGGGGGGGTGCAAATTGAAAGTTTGAGGGGTGGGGGGGGGGGTGAAAATCGAAAATTTGAAAGTTTGTCCCCGGGAAGGGTCGCTACGCCTCTGGGGGGTGACACCATTAAGTGCCGCACCGGGTGACACCCGACCTCGCTACGCCACTGCTGCAACTGAAAATGTTTTGCTTTTAAACACTATCAGTAGCTCGTAAAGGATGATTTTCCTCACCCTCACTTCCCACTCCAACTGCAACTATATTAATAGTTTACTCTATACTGTTCCATCTGTCCCCTCAGACACTTAGCAACATCCGTCGACTTCTCCGAGGATAAAGACAACAGATGGAGAACATCAGGCAAGTTGTAGAAATGTCTTCAATCTTTCTTTGGGTAGAAAATAAAAATAACTGAAATGTAATAGATAATAATTTGCTACCAGTTATCTTTAAATATAATGATTCGAGTTCATTGTTAATTTTGATTGCTACATCTTCAACATACAAATCTTGCCTCTTGGTGTACTTATTTATGTTTCAAATCTGTATGATAACTTTATACTAGTTTTCGTTTGTGTTAACTTTATTCTAATAACTTTTCGCTTTTTTAAAATATATTTTCTGGAAAAAAAAAAAAATTAGCAGTTTAAAAAGTAAGAAAATAAATCCATTATTAATACAAAGATTACTAATGTTAAGTCAATATTTTATAATAATGCTAACAAAAATGTAAAATAATTGGTTAAGTAGGATTTCAACGCCTTATAATAAATTTAAACCATAACTTTATATGTGTTCACTTTATTTTAATAATTTTCGTTTTTTAAAAATGTTTTCTGAATAAAATAAAAACAGCAGTTAAAAAAATAATTTCTTATACAAAAAAATGGAATTATATAATTAATAATTTACAAAGATGCTTACAAAAAAATAAATAATAATAAAACTAAGCAACAAAGAAAAAAATAGAAATAAATAAAAATAATAGCTGATTATAAAATTTTAATATGTATTTGTTTCCCGTAAACCAACAGGTTGTCGCCTAGAGGCTAACGAGCAAGTTGCCGTGTTTTTAGTGGTCGCTAAACCAACGCCTTCAGGTGTGGCGCGCTATCCCATAGGTAATGTTGACACCTTCGGCGTAAGTAAGTATAGCGGGCTTAGGGTATTATATCTCGTCTTTTCAATTAACGTTTTTGTTAGATATCATTTAATTCTTGTTCGATACCTTTAGCTTTTTGGTAGATGCCATTAACTTATTTTAGGATACTGTTTTTCTTGCTCGATAATATTAACTTTTAAACGATACCATTATCTTCATGATCGATTCCATTTACTTCTTGTTCGATACCATTATCATTTTGGTCGATACATTATACGTTTTTTTTCGATACCATCATTAGTCTCATGGTCGATATCATTAGTTTCTTAGTCAATACTTTTTTTTACGATATCATTAGCTTTTTCATCGATATTATTGGTTTCTTTGTCAGTACCATTAGTTTCTCATAACGACAAAATTAGTTTTTTGGTCTATATTCTTTTTTTTCGATACCATTAGTTTCACGGTCGATTTCAAAAGCTTTTTGGTCGATATCATTAGTTTCTTAGTCGATACTATTAATTTCTTATGACGATACCATTGATTTCTCGGTCGATACCATTAGTTTTTTTTGTCGATACCATTAGTTTCTTTTAACGATACCATTGGTTTCTCGGTCGATACCATTAGTTTCTTAGTCGATACCATTAGATTCTTTTAACGATACCATTGGTTTCTCGGTCGATACCATTGGTTTCTCGGTCGATACCATTAGTTTCTTTGACTATAAACTTAATTTCTTAAAACGGCACAAATAATGTCTTTATCTATACCATTAGTTTCCCATTTGATACCATTCATTTCCAAGACGATGCTTTTAATTCTTGGTCGATACTATAGTACTTTCTATATCATGTTCAATACTGTCAGCTTGTAGGTTTATAATGCCAGTATAAACGAATGACAACATTTCAAGCAGGAAATTTTACCTTTTGTTTACCAGAACCCGTGAAACCCCCTGACGCCTACGACACGTCTTGGAAATCTTTAGACCTCCATCCCAACTTCCGGATCACCGGAACCTACCACATTATGCCAGGCCTCAGCAGCACCGTGGTTGGATACAGGAAGCCCGGGCGTGGGCGGATGGTCAAGGTACTCGAGGAGGGCGAAGTCTTGAAGGTGAGTGGGTGTTGTGTGCAGTAGCGTAGCCCGGGGGGGGGGAGCGGGGGAGGGGACATATGTCCCCGAGCGCCGACCTTATGGGGCGCCAAAATGGGTTGGAAAAATAAATTGAAAGGTTGAGGGGGTGCAAATTGAAAGTTTGAGGGAGGGTGCAAATCGAAATCTTGAGAATGGGGGGGGGGGGGGGTGCAAATCGAAATCTTGAGGGGGGATGCAAATCAAAAAGTTTGAAAGTTTGAGGGGGGGGGGCGCAAATCGAAATCTTGAGGGGGGTGGGGTGCAAATCGAAAGTTTGAAAGTTTGAGGGGGGATGCAAATCGAACAGTTTGTCCCCGGGCGCCGGGAAGGGTCGCTACGCCTCTGGTTGTGTGCTAATGGGAGTCGGTGGGGTACAGTAGCATCGTACGGTGGTGAGTGAAGTCCGCTCTATCTACTGACGTGACAACAAAATGGAATAAATCACCATTTTTTAAAAGTCTGAATTTTTTTCGTTGTTTAATTTAACTGTTTTTTTTTTAAAGTGAAACAGACTCTACACATATTAATATTCCTAAGTAGGCTCTATACACAACACACACTGACAACACCAGTGTTTCTTCCAGAATTGTTCCTCCGGGGGGAGGGGGGGGCACACTTGATAATTTGATATTTTCGGGAGGTGGGGGCTTGGGGCCACACTGATAAAAATATATATTTTCTGAATACATTCCATACATTCCATTTCTTAAGGTGGGGGGGGGGGGTAGACTTTATTCGGGGGAGCGGAGTGCCCTACATAACCCCCCCCCCCCCCCGAAAAGATGCCTGTAAGAAACTCTGGACTCCACATACCTACGCACATTTCCTCCAACAGATAGACAAATCAAGAGCCAGTGATGTGGAGCTTCAGGTGGAGACGACTGCGAGCTCCCCAGCTATCTTCGTCTCTAGCACGGGTGGCTTCATTGGTGTTTTCACTCCTGCACTTAAGAGAGTCTACAAAATGCATTTCATGTAAGATTTATGCATTCATGTAAGATTTATGCATCCATGTAAGATTTATGCATCCATGTAAGATTTATGAATTTTATTTTAGATTCATGAATTTCATGAAAGATTTATGCATCCATGTAAGATTTAGGCATTTCATGCAAGATTTATGCATTTCATGTAAAATGTATGCATTTCATGTAAAATTTATGCATTTCATGTAAGATTTATACATTTCATGTAAGATGCATGCATTTTATTTAATATTTATGAATTTCATGTAAGATTTATGCATTTAATGTACGACTTATGCATTTCATGTATGATTTATAATAATTGATTGCGTAATGTTTACATTCTCCGTTTAATGAAAGATATGTAATCATAATCTTCCAATCTTCCATATTGTTATGTATAAAGCCTCAATTTATATATATATATATATATATATATATATATATATATATATATATATATATATATATATATATATATATATATATATATATATATTATATATATATATATATATATATATATATATATATGTGTGTGTGAGTGTCTGAATCGGCCTACATAGGACTATAATTCAAATAAATGCCATATAATCGTACATGTGTGTTTATAAGCTTTAATCACTGCAATATAATAGTAATAGTAACAGTAACGATGTTTATCTATAGCCTGTTAATAATACAGTTTAATGTAGCATTGTTATGTTTATAGTTAGCACGTTACGTCATGGTGTCACCCTCACCTCATGTAATCATTGTTGATGTATTTTTTAAAGGCTATTTAGATTTTATTAATTATTAATTGAAATGGCAAAAAAAAGCATTTTTCTTCTGTAAAGTTTGCGATTTTTTGCCTTGGTGTCAGCCCCCCCCCACAGCCCCCCCTTCAAATGGTGTCACCCGGTGCTGTCTGCACCCCCCCCCCCCCCCCACCCCGCCTCTGATTCCAAGCGTTCAACTCATGAAACTACTTTCTTTCAGGACTTTCAGTTATCTCTTGCCAGGAAAGAATTTCAGACATTATTTCCAGGTGTTTCCAGATAAGAAAGAAGGCTTCTTACTAAAGATGGATGGGATAAATTTATATAATTAGTAAGTGATTAGTTTGATGGATGGGTGGATAAATGCAGATCTATATATGGACTGATTAATCGAGGGATGGATACATGTATTTATGAATTAACGGATGAATTTATGGATGAAGTTATTGATGGAGTTATGGATAAATTTATGGATGAATTGATGAATGAATTTATAGATGAATTTGTGGATGGATTTTTGGATGGATTTATGGATGGAGTTGTGAATGGAGTTATGGATGGATTGAGGGATGGATTAAAGGATGGATTTATGGATATATTTATGGATAGATTTATGGATGGATTTAATTATGGATTCAGGGATGGATTTAGGGATAGAGTTAGGGGTGGATTAAGGGATGGATTAAGGGATTGATGGATGAATCTCTATGGAAAATAGTTAAGTAAAAATAAATTAAAGTCAGAAATATTTTATTTTTATGTCGAAAAAATCTTTATTGTAACTGGACCCATTTGTGCCCAAATTTACTGCTTCAGCGCTGCCGTGGATGTGTCTACAGAACTCAATGGCACGATGTTGGAGGCGAACATCAAGTTTGGTGTGATGGCGTTTGGTACGACAGACGGTGCGATACTTTACTATCATTATGGTGTAAATCCTAGGCTAGTGGTTCAGGTTAGTTCGTCAATAGCTCTCTCACCGTGGTGTGTGTTCACGTGTGTGTAGGGGAATGTTGAAATGTGTGTAGGGGAATGTTGAAATGTGTTTAGGGGAATGTTGAAATGTGTGTGGGGATGTTGTGGTGTGTTGAAATATATGGGGTGTTGAAATGTGTGTGGGAATGTTGTGGTGTGTTGAAATATATGGGGTGTTGAAATGTGTGTGGGGATGTTGGGGTGTGCGGAAATATATGGGGTGACTAAATGAATCTGAGTTGTTGACGTGTGTGAAGTTTGGACATATGTTTGTGTAGTTGAAATGTGCATAGGCGGTTCAAAGGTGTGGGGTTATTGTTTTGAGCTTGGGGTGTTCACTTGTATGAGTGAGTTGTTTGCATTAGTATTGTGATGTCGTCGGTCTATTGTCATGATTTAGATAACTAGCAGTGTATCTAATTAATGTTTAGACAGTGGAGAATGTGCCACTTGATTTAAACGAGTGACAAAATATTTTATCTGATCCAGTGATATTTTTACATATGTATGTATGTGTGTCTGTAGTGACACATCTAACAAAGATGATAAACAATAATAAATAACATCGTTACAGGATTTTGATCGTGCACGTCTGAAATCTCGCTCAAAGAATTTTACGAATTCCTATTATCGGTTTGGTTCGTATATTATTTTTCATCTTAAAAAAACACTTTATTAACACTCGTTCTAATGTTAGAATTATCCATTGTGTTTGAGGTTTAGACTGCCATTTGTATTTGTTCAGGATTATAAAAGTGCAAAGTTTGAATAAAGCTAACAAAAAATTGTTCCTGATTCTTAAAAGAAATTGAAACAAGAGTTTAAAAACTTTTTTTTACTTTTTGATAGTAAAACCTAATAAAAATCAAAACTTTTTAAATGACATAAAGATATGTTGCATACAAGTATGCAACATATCTTTATATCTTTTTACAAGTATATGCAATTATATGTAAATACAGTATTTATGCCAAGGGTTTTAAGCAAAAAATACAAAAAAAAAAATGGCAGTAACCTCTCTGTTCTGTAATTAAAAAAAAAAACAACATATACAACTATTCTGGCAGCCGTTTGCTTCTAGCAAGTTTATTTATAGTCTTTAGAACATATGAGTTTTTTTTTAAATTTGTTAATGCCCTGATTGTTTGGTTAACACAGTGTGAATTTACTACACTTGTTTTAGTCATAGAGTATCATTTACTTAACAAGGCCTGTGTCCATCCCTTTCTTTATGTTACCACAGTTGGTTTAAACATTAGTATGAGCCAATGAAAGAATATTTTAATACAATGTATTGTAGTCTTCGATGAAAACATATATTTTGTTAATACATTACATAAGAGTAATCGAATCTTTTGTGAATGTAATGTATTTTAGTATTCCGTGAATTTTTTTTTTTAAAACATTAGAATGTCTCAGTGTTTTGTGAATACAATGGATTGTAGTATACCATGTCAAAAACTTTCGTTAATTCACACAATATAGTGCGACAGTCTTGTGTTAATACGATGTAGTATACAATGCTGTTAATAAATATAATATAAATTAGCACAACACAACCATTGTTAATTAATACATTGTATTTTAGTTAGCGTTGACGAAAACTATTGAATTAATACAATGTGTTATAGTGAAAAAAATACTTTGTTATATCATGTCCTCAAGTGTTTTCCGTTAAATGAATATTGTGGTATATATATATATATATATATATATATATATATATATATATATATATATATATATATATAGACAATGTATTTCAGTGTGCCCCATCCCAAAGTATGTTTTATGTTTATACAATGTATTTCAGTGTGCCCCATCCCAAAGTATGTATTGTGTTTATACAATGTATTTCAGTGTGCCAAATCACAAAGTATGTATTGTGTTTATACAATGTATTTCAGTGTGCCCAATTACAAAGTATGAATTGTGTTTATACAATGTATTTCAGTGTGCCCCATCCCAAAGTATGTATTGTGTTTATACAATGTATTTCAGTGTGTCCCATCCCAAATTATGTATTGTTTTTAAACAATGTATTTCAGTGTGCCCAATCACAAAGTATGGCGAGAATTGCACAGAAGACTGCAAATGCCCAGAGTCACATTGTATATATACTGGAGCTTGTTACTCCAGGAAATGTCAAACAGGAACTTTCGGCCCACGCTGTGAAAACGGTGGGTATTTGTAACTAATTTTATTTTTCCTTTAGTCCAGCATAGTCTAATGTTTGTATTTGTAACTAACTTTATTTGGCCTTTAGTCAAGCATAGTCTAATGTTTGTATTTGTAGCCAATTTTATTTGGCTAGTTTAACAAATCGTTCGTCTAGTGTGTGTATTTGTAACTAATTTTATTTTTCCTTTAGTCCAGCATAGTCTAATGTTTGTATTTGTAACTAATTTTATTTGGCCTTTAGTCCAGCATAGTCTAATGTTTGTATTTGTAACTAATTTTATTTGGCCTTTAGTCCAGCATAGTCTAATGTTTGTATTTGTAACTAACTTTATTTAGCCTTTAGTCCAGCATAGTCTAATGTTTACATTTGTAGCTAAGTTTATTTTGCATCGATAACACATTTTTCGGTCTAGTCTGTGTGTATTTGTAACTAATTTTATTTGGCATTTATAACACATCTTTTGGTCTACTCCGTGTGTCTTTGTAATTAATTTCATTTGGCCTCTTGTCCAACAATTTATTTGGTCTAGTTTGTGTGTTTTTATTACTAACTTTTTTGACATATAGTTTAACCTTATCTAGATAGACTATCTAGATAATTGTTTCAGATAATGAATAAAATTCAGTTCGAAATTTCTGCAATGTTCTTGATTTTGTTATAGTTATTGTTATTTCATATTTGTTTATTAGAGGACCTGTTAGAGGATTTTGTTATAGTTATTGCTATTTCATATTTGTTTATTAGAGGACCTGTTAGAGGATTTTGTTATAGTTATTGCTATTTCATATTTGTTTATTAGAGGACCTGTTAGAGGATTTTGTTATAGTTATTGTTATTTCATATTTGTTTATTAGAGGACCTGTTAGAGGATTTTGTTATAGTTATTGTTATTTCATATTTGTTTATTAGAGGACCTGTTAGAGGATTTTGTTATAGTTATTGTTATTTCATATTTGTTTATTAGAGGACCTGTCAGTGTTCAACACGGAGACTTATCTGAGTCCATGGATGGACAGCGATGGTAACACATGCGAGGAAATAAGCAACACAACTATAGCTGTCAATCTAAAGTACAAGTTCCGTGTGTCGAAGATCAATTTAGCTCTTAAAGCTGGTAAGCATTTCTCGGGTGGTGTCTGTAAGTTATTTAACATAATTTTACATTGTGTTTGCTATTATATAATTATATAAATAAAGTTATTTTATCGCAATTTGTATTATAATTCCTTGCAGGGATTGTTCAAATAAATTTAACGAATGACATTTAAGTTAACCCGAAAAAGGTGTATGAATGTATTGTGAGTTTTTGTAGTTTACACTCTAATTGTTAATGTTTTACTCTTTCTTCTTCTTAATCCCTTTTCGTGCCAAAGACACAGCAGATGAAGTAGAGTTCATCTGATTCATTGACCTCTGCATATGAAGGGATAGTGTGGTCGATACTATTTTATTGCCTTTACTTTCGCTAACGTAATTTAGGTACCCATCAGAGTTGAATGGACACAGGGACATTCCAATGATTTGAACCCGGATGCGAATTCAAGACTCCCGTGTTAGCAGTCTAGCTCTCTACCGCTAGGCAACGCTCTCCCCTGTTTTACTCTTTAACCAGCTAACTTTAATGTATTTTTATCATTTACACGCTTAACTATTTTGTTTTAGACATCGAGGCTAACACTGCCGAGATGGTGGAGTCCGTCTACGTTGAACACACCCAGACCAAAGAGATGGTGGAGGTCGATCATTTTACCGTGTCTCCGGGCTCCGTTTTGCCGTCCGTGGACATCGTGTTGGACAGGGACTACATGACGCGGAGGATTAGGATACGTTTCACTAGCGTGAACATCTGCACGCTGTCCATAGATGGGGGTAGGTCAACATATATAGACCAGCGTTCTCCAAACATTTCAGCCCGAGGGCCGCATTAACTATAAAATATCAGCCCGAGGGCCACATTAACTATAAAATATCAGCCCGAGGGCCGCATTAACTATAAAATATCAGCCCGAGGGCCGCATTAACTATAAAATATCAGCCCGAGGGCCGCATTAACTATAAAATATCAGCCCGAGGGCCGCATTAACTATAAAATATCAGCCCGAGGGCCGCATTAACTATAAAATAACAGCCCGAGGGCCGCATTAACTATAAAATATCAGCCCGAGGGCCGCATTAACTATAAAATATCAGCCCGAGGGCCGCATTAACTATAAAATATCAGCCCGAGGGCCGCATTAACTATAAAATATCAGCCCGAGGGCCGCATTAACTATAAAATATCAGCCCGAGGGCCGCATTAACTATAAAATATCAGCCCGAGGGCCGCATTAACTATAAAATATCAGCCCGAGGGCCGCATTAACTATAAAATATCAGCCCGAGGGCCGCATTAACTATAAAATATCAGCCCGAGGGCCGCATTAACTATAAAATATCAGCCCGAGGGCCGCATTAACTATAAAATATCAGCTCAGGGCCAGAGTTTGTTCAAGGAATTTCTTCGAGTTGGCTACATTTTCAAATTGTTTTGAATTTTCTTGGCAAAGTTCCTCATCCACCTCCAACAATAATCGTTTCCGTGGAAAAAAAAAAAGATCTCCGCGGGCCGGATGAGAGGACATCGCGGGCCGCATCCAGCCCGCGGGCCGTAGTTTGAAGACCCCTGACGGATCAGGTATGACTGGGAACGGTGTGGTGGGGAAGGAGAGCGAGTAAAGTCTCGAGTCCGAACTACGGCACAGATGATGCTTATTTTCTGGTGACAGCAATCAACCCTGACAAGGAGAGAAATTTCCCAAATCAAACAACTGCTGCCTTTTAAGTTGTTTGTGGATGGACAAGGGCTATGGAAGGAAATCCAGAAAAAAAACCAGGGAAAATGACGTTCTATTTTCTTTTTTACAGCTTAGTTATCTAACTAGAGTACTGTTTTAGTAAGGTTGACTAAATTTCATAAATCAGAATCACATCAATATTTTTTCTAGCTTTTGAGCAATTTTCAGTAACCGGAAGTGTTTTTATT